GGGGGTACGTGATAGTTGTGTGTGACAGCGGGAGAAGGGGTCTTCTTTTTTACCTCAGTTGTTTCTGTCAGTCTGTCTGTCTCTTCTCTATCATTAAATGGCCATTATTTTATTCTCTCGATTATAAATCGCGTTACTCGTTTTTTTTATAGGATTTTTGCACACTTGCTATGCAATTAGGTCCTGTAAGTACAGAAGGTTAGATGTGTTATTAGAGAATAACATACAGCGAAAAGAGGGAGGAGAGATTATAAGGAAGATGAATGTTTGATAGAACGAAAGGGGCGAACCAGGTTGGAGCACCCGCCAACAACTCAGGTCGATCTCTGTTCAGGCAGATTGGAACTAAGTAGTAGGATGTGGGTTGTTGGGAGAGGTTCACATGTTGTCTGTCCCTTCTACTTCTTACTGATTTATTGTTCAGACGCAGTCTGAATTATCAAAGACGGTCACCCATTGGAAGAAAAGTGGTCAGACGACTGTCATATGCACTTGCATCATAATGGGGGTTTTTTATAATAAAAAAAACAACAAGAGGGGAAATGTGAAGTAGCTTTTTGTACAGTCGATTTTTTTTATACAGGTGGTTGTTGTAACAGCAGCTTCATCAATGGAGTGAAGCAAAAGTACACTCATAAATGGTCGCTTTTAAGAACAGGCGGGCTAACTCACATTTCGGGGGTTTCCAGAAATCTTGTCCTACACCAAAAGTGGGTATTGCCCTATACCTATAGGAGAAGTTTGGTTTAATTGATGTGTACTTTTATTTGGTTACAGAGAAAACGATCCTTGTCTTTTAAAGAAACTGAACAAGGGACAGAAACTTAATTTTCGATTTTCTCAAAATAGTATTTTTCGGGATAGCCCACTTGTGCTTAAAAGCGATCAAATGTGGCCTTCGTTGTGCCAGGTTACAGAAAATAGAAATCCAACTGCAGCAACAACATCAACAACAACAGTAAATTACCACAGCAATAACAGCATCAACAATTACAACAATAACAACAACAGCAACAACAAAACCAACAACAGCAGCAACAAAACCAACAACAGCAGCAACAACAGTAAATGACTACAACGATAACAAATTCAACAATAACAACAACCACAACAACTACAAATATACCAAACAACCCCGATAATACAAGCAATGATAGCACCAATTGGAGTGTAGAAAACACATAGGCCTACGTTTGATTTCTTTTTTAAAATCTTGTATTATATTCCAGGTCGGCCTCATATGTAGAGAGCCTAGCCAGTAAAGTTGGTGTGAGGAGCCCACACCTCAGCCCCAAACAGGTGGACATGAGTAGTACCAAGTGGGCCTCTAACATGGTGAGATTTGTGTATAACAGAGAGAGAGGGAGAGAGAGAGAGAGAGAGAGAGAGAGAGAGAGAGAGAGAGAGAGAGAGAGAGAGAGAAAGAGAGAGAAAGAGAGAGAGGGAGAGAGAGGGAGAGAGAGAGAGAGAGAAGAGGACGTGGGAGGGAGAGAAAAAGAGAGAGTAAGCAAGATAAAGATAAAGCAAGAGTGAAAGATCGAACACTCTGTTTGTGTGACTGAGTTGTGTATGGTTGCATGTGCATAGCTGTTAACTAGTACGTAAAAATAACGTTTTAATCTAATACTTCTTTTAAAACTTCTGAGCAAGAAAGGCTGTTTTAATGTCGGAAACATACTTATTCTCTGTTTTCTAGTAAAGCACTTCATAGATTCGGCGATGCTAAAGAAAAATTATGAAATTTTAAGACCTGATTTTAAAATTATTATAAGAAGGTTTATGGTTCAATTATTGCAGTTATGCCCCTTACTAAAGTTGTCTACATGTATTGCGTTGAGCATGAATTTATTGAAGGCAGACACAGTGTGCCTGAATTATGTTGATTGGGGCCAAAAAACACCTGCTCTAAAAAGGATACAAAGAAAAAAGCTCTCATACACACATTAGACAACTTTATGCTTTAAAAATAATAGTTTTTGAAACAGTGACATGAACAACCATCATATTCAACAGCTCAACTTGTGCTTGTTCTTGCCCAAAGTGTCTTGAAAGTTTCTGTCTCTGTTTTCTAGTATAGTTCCCCTTGGATTCGCTAATACTGAAGCAAAATCTTGGACCGGATTTGCCAATAATAATGAGAACGAAGTCCATAAAAGTCAGATATCATAGTTATGTCCCTTACTATAGTTATGTACATGGTATGTATTGAGCATGAATTTATTGAATGCAGAAAAAGCGTGTGTCTAAATTGTGTTGATTGGGGCGAAAAACATCTTATCTTAAATAAAAAAGCTTACATACACACGTTGAGACAACTTTACCCTTTAAAAAAATTAGTTTTGTAAAAAGTGACACAAACAAACCTCACAACCTTGAAATTCAACAGCTCAACTTCTGCTGGTTTTTGCCCAATGACAATGAGTCTCGAAAGTTAGATTTTGATTGTAGTAATTATGGTCGTGAAAAGATGCAACAGAATTTGAGAAATAAACTTTTTCCCGTTTGTTTCCTCCAGGGCAAAGTGGTGGGCGTTGTCATTGGTTGCCTTCTGGGAATGTTCCCGCTGCTTTTCTTCAAGGACAAGGAGGTTCAGCAGGAGGAGGAGGAGGGGAAGACGATAACGAACTCTGGTGGATCGACATAGGAGAAGATGATCTGGGAGGAGTGTGACAACATGAGTTATTTCTAGGATTTTAGCCCAATGGACAGATACGTCAAAGAGGGTTTGCAATTTATTAGTATGCAATGGTAAAAGACATGTTAACTTTTATCTCCGAAAGGGGTAAACCCACTGTGCCAGGGCTTTGTTTTGGTACGAAATCTAAAAGTGACATAAACGTCGGTAAATTGGTCATTAATTCAATACAAATCAACGTATTTTGATAGTTCTTTATCTAATTAATGAACTTCAAGTAAAAGAGACTTGTTTTCAGCAATTTCTGAAAAGTAATTTGACGTGGAAGTCATTGTAAAGGAATGTGTCCGAGCCACTGCCAGCAGTTCTGACCGTGATCCACTGGGAGCGGCTTGCCGGAGATATAGAGTTAAACTTGAAGAATACAACATCAGTTGAAAATCTACAAATTCCCCCTTTGTGTTGATTTTCGGCTGTTATCACCATAACCAGATTGTAGGAAGTAACTCATTTTGTCAGCGCGCCTCACAATTACAACAATGTTTCGAACTCTCAACTCTGTATAGGGTCACGGGGTTTTCTACTTGTTCATACATGCTGTCTAGGTTGTTTTTACCAGCATAAAGTATGAAATATTTTTGGAATACGGTTGTTTTAGTTATGTTTATGGTATATTATGTTTTGAGGCTGTGTTGTTTGTTTTTTATTTATCCTGTGTGTTTTTAGAATTGCACATATGTTCTGAAGGTTTATTTTATTCGAAAACATTTCTTTTGCATTCTTGTTAATACACTCTAAATTGTTGGTGTTGGAAGACACTAATAGATTGTTTTATATCAAAAACATGGTGACAGATTTCTTTTAAGACTGCTGGAGCAATGAAACCTTTTTATTTTTATTTTTGAATCCTTGTTTTACATTCTCTAAAACCTATAATAATTTGCACACCAAATTATACCCCTCTATTTATTTGTTTTATAGTTTTTTTAATAGGTTTTCGTTTATCCTAATGTAAGCGGCAATAGCAGCGTGCCAGTATGAAGGCCGATCTTGGTTGTTTAATACATTCACAATATGACACTGATAGCTCGAATTCATCTGGACCGGCCTCGGTAGTTTGAGGGATCCGTAGTTGGAGGGATATCTTACAAAAATAAAGAAGAAAGAAAAGAAAAACGGGACAGCAGGCACAGTTCAACGGATGTGTGATTTCGAGTCTTCTGTGTTCGACCTATCCGTGGTATACTGTGTTGGGTAAGAATCTTCTGTCTGTTTAAATAATGACTTAAAATATTCTCTATGATTTGTTTCGCTGTTCTCTGCATGTTTCTTTGTTTCATGAAGGGCACTCTAATTCTTAAGGCGGGCTAGCTGATTTGACAATCGTTATAATAAAAATCTACCAAGTCTGAGAAAATTCATGCTGTCCATGATCAAACTATGTTTTTTGCATTCATTTCTGCTCAGTTTGGCATTTATTACTTTATGAAAATTGGTGTTATAAGGGAAAATTTGTTATGGATACGTCAGTTGAAAAGTGGAAGATGAAGCTGACTGCATGCAAAACATGACAAACATTTCTTTTGAAATGTTACTTTAGCTTATTTCACTTTCCTTTGCACATTTATTTTTTTTCATGAAGTTAACTCAAAGTATATGTGGCATATGACATGGTGGAATCAGGTGCTCGTCAATTGGTGGAAATGTAAAGTTAGTAGTATCACCCCAAAGCTTGTTCAATTGTTTTGCTTTTGCAGAAAAAGAAATACCAATCTTATATTAAATAGAAGTAAAGATATCTGCGATTGAACAAGGTTGAGATCGATTAGTGTTAGAGTTAGAGGGAAAATAAGTGTGAAAATGGCTGCTACTAGTTTTGGGAACTTTCAAAGTTAGAGTGTCCTTAAGAACTGGACATTTACATTTTTTGTGACTTTCACTTTCGTCAACTTTTTTCAGTTACATCCACAAAGAAATGTGTTCTTAAATGAACACAAAAGTTGTTGAACCAAAGACAATTATATATTCAATAAAAATTGCACAACAGGCAGAAAAATGTGTGTTTTTCCGATTTGATTAGTTTGATACGTGCGGGATTTCACAGCGATGCCACATATATAAAATGAGCCAACTGGATTGGCATTATGCCATTGTTACAATCATAGTGAAAATCTGCAAAGCCCTCGTTGAGTCATCAGCAAAGTATCACTACACTCAGTATTTTGTTTATGCTACAGATCTTTGCCCTCGTCTCTAGCTCACTGTCAGTTGTTATCACTGAACTTTTCTATTTTCGTCAGTGAGCTGAAGACAAATTATGTATGCCATGTGTCAGTACATGGTGGAATCAGGCACTCATTAATTTTTAGTCATACTACTCCGTTGGTAAAATTTTAAAGCTTGTTCATTTGACTTGCTTTTAATGATAAAAAAAAATTGTGGATAAAAGTTGAGTTACTTGCTGTCAAAGGAGATGGATGTTGCCTGATGTCAGAGGTAAACCAACGAAAAAATGGCCTCCAAAGACTTCCAATGCTGTTATGTCCTTGGACTCTATAAATTTACTTTTTTGTGTGCCTTTGATCAATATTTCTTTTTAAGTATAATCCATGCAAGAATTTGTTTATGAATTACACAATACAGTGTTTAGCAGCCCCCCCCCCCCCCCCAAAAAAAATAAAATTTAATTGCTCAGTGGGTGGGTTGGTGGGAAAATGATGGTTTCTCCAATTTCACTTTTTAGACGAGAGCCTGGTTTCACCACGCTGCCACACATATGTTAGGCAGCGTGGTGGAATCAGCCTCCGCCAAAATAATGAAATTGACGATACTAGCATTTTTCCGCAGGCTAGTGAATTTTTACCCAAACATTTTTTTTGGGCTCAACACCTTTTATGCCCATTAAAAAACTAATTTCTGTGTTGATTTTTCTGAAAAACGTTGATTAAAGGCACAAAAAATGTAAATTTTCAGCTACCACGGACTCTTAAGCTAAGGGAATAACTAATCTTTGGCGGCCATTTTCTCACTAATTTTACCTCTGAAACCAGGTGACCCCCACCTCCTTCTTTCGCAAATATTTCGACTTGTATTCAAGATAAATGGATATTTTTTTCATCCAAATAAAGACAAATGAACAAGTTTTAAGATGATACCAATAACTCTACATGCCCAAAAAATGACGAGGGCCTGATTTCACCACTCTGTCACACATATTTGTTTTGTTGTATCACTTTGCTTCCTTTCTGTTGTTCCAGAAATGTGTGCGCACAGAGCGGGGGAGAGAAAACAAAGTGTTGATTTAAGACACCCTGGGTACAAAGATGTAAGAAATGAGAGTATATTTACCAGTTTGTTTGTTTGTTTTAATTTTCGTTAGTTGGAGTGCACAGTATTTTCTTATGCAATTTTTTTCGCCGTTGTGATCAGAGTCAATGATGAGATGATATTAATTGGATTTTTGTTTGTTCTTTTTCAATTTATTTCTCACATGAATCATTTATTTGTTGGTTTGTTTGCTTGTTTGTTTGTTTTTAATTCTAGTGTATGTTTCACTCTTGATGTGGCTTGGACTTCCAGATACTATTTATAGGCAAGTCTTTTTACGAACTTTATTTTAAGTTTGACTTTGAAAAATGTTTGTTTTTGCTTTTTAATTCCTTTTAACTAAAAGTATGGAAAAATCATTTCAGATTAGGTCGGTTTGAGTAAAGAGTCACACGTTGACATGTTCATGGTCAGTTTTTCTTGGAAAAGGCAAGATAGGCAGGTAGAAAAACGGACAATTAAAAAGTAAGAACGTAACGGTCATTTAAGTACATATTCTATCACTTTGAAGGAAAATCTAATAGCTATCTTATGATACGAGTGTCCATTACTCCTCCATTATATATGTAGATCAAGAGAAAAATCTCAGTGTAGCCACATCCGTTTCCCAGATATGCCCAAGAAGCGTGTCACTTTTCTTGTTTTTTCTCTTGTGTTGTGCAATAACGGCCTTGTATTGGCGTCTTCGATTTTGTTGATGATCTATGGCCTTATGTGCCTAAACCTGCAGGCAATGAAAAATGTAGAAATAAGAGTTTTTATGTCTTTGAAGAAAAAAAACAACTCAGTCCTTTTTTTCTTACTTTGTGAGGGCTCTTTTTATTTTTTTTAGCCGTTTCCATATGGTTGTTGTACTTACTTGATGATTCCATTATGCCTTACTGTACAGCAGAAATTGTGTTGGATAGCCACCCATTGTCAAGGAGGAAAGTTGTTATCTTAGACAGGTGGATGGCTACATAGGGTCAGTATAATGTACAAGATACGCAAGGCTGGAATAGGAAGTGGTCGTTGCTACAGGTGTTTTTTTTTAGACGGGTGACCGTTGCTACAGGTGTTTTTCTTTAGACAGGTGGCCGTAAGAGCATGTTCAACCATATTTCCAAACAAGACCTCCATCCCCTCCCCTCTATCCCCTTCCTTCCATATCCTCACCTTCCCTCCGTCCCCTCCACTCTGATCCCCTTTCCATCTCCCTCCCCTTCACTCCTAACTTGCCTTAAGTGTTACCTCAGTATTTTCAAACATGGTGAAGTATTCCATGTTTCACCTCCACTCTTGGTGGCATGTTAAGTGTCCTTTATGCTTCCACCACATTTCCACCCATCCTCATATGTTACTTTGTTTTTCCCTATGATGTTTCAGTCAGCACTCTCAGATGTATTGGCTGCACTCTTTATTTTCACCCCTGAGGTGTTTGTTTTTGTAATAATAGTAATAATATAATGGTAATGTTTTCACTCTCATAATTTTGACCATTGAGGAACGGTGGGGGGGGGGGGGAGGAAGGGTCAGTGATATTTCAGCCTTCGGCTGGCGCTGTATGGGATACATTGATGCAGAAAGACAAATTTACCTTACAAAGGGCCTTCACATTTGGGAATTGAACTCATATCTTTTGTGTGTGAGACGAAGATCCTTGCCATAATGACACCAAAGACACGATTCTTGAGATATCATCGGACAAATTCTTTATTCTTAATGAAGTGTAAAGCTGTGCCATGCCGTACCATTTCAACTTGTGTGTCGAGACTTTTCCGAAAGTTATTTGTTTTTTTCTCTTACAGTAATAATGTACATATTTTCTCCCCGTCCACTGTACTAAGTTTGACTTCATCATAATATCGTCAGCTTCATTGCACAGTCAAGTTTGTTTTTAGTTCTGAGAAAATGAAGGAAAATGAGAGTGCCTAAATCTGAGCTCTGACTTGGACACTAGCTATTATCTGCTGTCTACAAAAAAAACTTGGAAGGAAATAATGAAACAGAACAAAACTTTACATATATTGAAATATGTGGCTAGATGTCAATATTAAAATATCCGCGTTATCTGGAAACACTTTGGCAAGCTATTTGTGGGACTGGAATGGTGCTGACGATATTTTAAGATCATATTCAATATATGGTAAGTTGTGAATCTTCTACCTCTCAGGGATAGGGCATAATGCCTGCCACTGCACCACACGAACTGAATATTTTGAATACTCAGCCTGGGAATGTGTTCCTATTATCGTAAAATAATATTAATTTACCAAATATTTCTGGCATGAAAGGTTGAAAATTCCTAGTATAGACTGCTTTAGTATATATAGCCATACTATAAAAGTATGGATGTGTGTGCCGCTAAGTAAAATTATCAGCAAGAAACAGAGTAAATTTGAATACTAACGGGAAGATGCATTTAAAGTTTGCTTTTCTGACCGTCTTTTTTATGTCCTCATTTTGAGACGTTTGTATAAAGAGAAAAAAAAATGAAGTTCCTCTTTATACTAAAGTGTTGAGCTTGAGGGTAGTCGAGTAGTAGTAGTGGTATCCTATTCCTGTCTACAATACCTTTTTTTTTTTTAACCATTGTGTTGTGTAGAAAAGAATGATCCTTAGGACATGCTGTGTGTTTGCCAAGTTTGTTTATATTTCTGTGAAAAGGGTTTTGCAGACCTATTGGGATACCAGCTACGTGCAGTGGGATTGTTCCTGGCATGAATTCTTTGTCTTTTTTTTTTAGGGGGGAGTTGAGATTGCTCATGTTTTTGCTTTGTGTGTGACTGTCTGTTTATCATTCATAATTGTTAAGCAGAGCTACTTATGGCTCACTTTTTCTTTGCCTCGGCTTGATTTTAGTTGGCTTCCATCCACTAAGGTCGTGTTACACACACATGTCTTATTTCAACAGGAGAGCCTTTTATCCGTATATATGAAAGAAAGAGGATGCAAAGGGCAAATATTACTTACCTGTATCTTACCAAAGATTTTTGTCGTGTTTGTCTCAACTCCCAAACACTAATTTTAATAGTTTTGTGAAGTGAAGAGTTTGGATGAGGTTGTGATACAGACTTTGTAGCTATTTTATGATGGATTTTTTAAATTGTCATATTAGAATTGCTTTACACATCCAGTTGCAAAACCTAGATAGTTTGATTAAGACAAGCTACATCACTTCTGCCAATCTCACCATCAGAGCTGATCTGGGACAACTTCCCCACTTAAAAAAAGGAGTGAAACCCACTGACTCTGAGAACATAGCAAGTAAAAACACAGTGGAATTCACTGAAACTAAACACTTTTAATCCAAAAATAGTGGTAAACTGAAATAAGACAGAATCCTTGATATTTTGTCTTCCCTATTTGTTTAGCAATCTCTCTATTCCAAAAACCGGCTAAACCGAAGAAAATCTGGCAGTCCCTGAGATTTTGGTTTAAGCGTACTCTACTGTCTCTTGATGTTGCGATACCAAGACGAGACAGAAAGAGAATTTCCACTTATTACTTATGTTAGTGAATGTTTACTATTGTTTCTGCTGCTTTGACATATCACTGTAATTTCTGTTACTGTATGGTGTCCCCAATACGCTCCCTAGTATGTATATATATACAGATGTGTGCATATGCTTTGTGCTTTCCTTGGTAGGGACATATTGTGTGGGAAAATGCAAACTGTCTGAGTCAACATGATCACGTTTTTGGGGAAGTATAACAAAATATCCATTATGTTTTGCAGTCTGCTGCTTTAGTTTACAACTGGCCTGACTGGCTGTACATTTTTTAGGCCTCTATTGACAAAGTGTGGATCTCTTAGGAGATAGACTACCTGTTGTGTAAGCAAAGTAGAAAATATGTCTACATTGTAATAAGTGTTGTGCTTCCCCCCCAAAAAAACATGGAATCCAAAATTGTTTGAAAGTAGATGATAAAACCTGAAGAGGAGGAAACCTGGAACATGGTTTTTATTATAATTTTTTAATTAAAATTCAGAAAAGCCCAGGTCTCCATCTCCTTTTTGTTTTTTTTGTTTCATACTTACATCAGGGATGATAATAATGATAACCAATAAATTATGGAGAAAGGTTGACAGGATTAAATTTGATGTTAGTTTATTTCTTCGTTTGCCTGCAAAGGTGGACTGGGGCTGTGTGTGAGGTACTGCAGCAGGACAGAAAGACTTGAGTTACATGATCAGATCAATGCTTACACCTCTTGTGCTCTTTGCCCTCATTGTGAAGGGCATGAGTTTGAATCCTGCACTCACGTCCTTCACACTGTAGGCAACCTTTCACTATTGATGCCGATACAACTGTCCAGTAGAATGAAAAGATACCGTTGAGTATGTGAAGAAGCTATGGTGATTATGCTTTTTG